ATGTCGGGGGGGCCCCAAAATGTTCATGCGGGCGGGGGGGGGGGGGGTGCTGCTGCAGAGGATCATGTACTTCCTAACCAGATTTATGACAAAGATGCCATTTTGAAAAAATACAAAACACATGCATATATATGTCTGTTTGTTTTTTTTAACCAATGTGTATCGCAGTATCTTAATATATTTCATGAATCCATACTCAATGCTTGTTCTAGCCTTCAACCACAAAGGGTCTGAACAATCAAAAGTAACCCCATATTGTGATTATTTTTTTTCCCAGTACAAAAGGCAGTCTTGCATACAAATCAGGACTTTTATCAGACTCCTTCAGAGCTTGCTGATGAGCTGATCATTTGAATCCGACGTGTTGCAGCAGGGAGAAACGGAAAACATGCAGGAAAGGCGGCCCTCGAGGATCGGAGTTTGACACCGATGGCTTACGCGAATAGCAGCGATCGGGTTCATCTCGAGACGTTAGCTTTAGGCTAACATTGGACTCGTCCGCTTGCTATCTAGCTAGCGCATGAGTCCAAAACATAAGCGGCTTGTCATTTATTATGATATAATATGACACTTTTTTATTGTTTCCCAGCCCAGGTGGATAATTATCCAAAAGAAACAATCTTTTTCTCTCTAGGCATTGTTATCACATCCGACGACGCAGCAAGAGTGCACCATTTTAAGAGCAACCGTGGCATGTGTTTTCAAATGTATACAGTCGAATGCCATCCACCCAAGATGGTGAGCGAGAAAAAGAACGCCAAAGCCAAGAGACCTCGTCAGGTAATCCCTTTCAATTCCGGCAGCCTTTAAACTCATTTACTTTGCAGTTTACAAGTGACTTAGAGCCTATTCCAGCCGCCTTACTGGCAAGGTGGGATACAACTTGAACTGGAAAACCACTCGCACTCACATTAACGCTGATGGGCAATTCAGTCATCAACACATGTCTTACACTTAAAGATGTCAGGCTACTTGATGACAAAAGCAGCGGTCCCCAACCTTTTTTGCCCCACGGACCGGTTTAATGTCAGACAATATTTTCAGGGACCGGCCTTTAAGGTGTGGCGGATACATACAACAAAATAATACGATATGACCTGCATGAAACCTGTCATATTTTTTAAACATAATAATAAACACGAATCATGACACGAGGAACGTCCTATCTGGCAGCAACACTCTCTGGTCACTATGGTAACGTTTAAACATGCCTTTAAAATAAGTTGCACCGCAAATACAAAGTGCATGAAAAATACGACTCACCATCGCCGCATATTATGCAGAGTGGGCTCGGTGCGTAGGAATATCTTGTTGAGATAAAGCCGTATGTTGAGTAGGAAATCCTGATATTGTCCATTAAATGTAGCCTTCTTTGTCTTGAAAGTCGTAGGCTCCTCTTCTGTTTCCTGGCTGGGCCTTTTCCCCTTCCTAAAGAAACTTTTCAAAGATGTTTGTTTTTTACTCATTTTGCGAGCTCCTGAGTTTCATTTTAGCGGTAATTTATTTAGTTTTGTTGTTTTGGTCTTGAGTTGAGAGTTGAGTTGAGTAACCTATCACGTGACCGAGAAGCACGCTTTGACCTGTGTCAAGAGTGACACAGTGTAGATGGATGTAACAGAGAACCCGATATTTTTTCAAAATTAAATATCTTTCAGCTTTCGAAATACCAAATGACCCACGGACCGGTATCGGTCCGCGGCCCAGGGGTTGGGAACCGCTGGACTAAGGTGATTCTTATGAGAGCACCAAAAGCATTTCAGAGTGAGTGATACTGACCCTTATAGAAAAAAAATATGTATGGAAAAACACAATCAAATGAAAAACAGCAAGGACAGCGGTAAATGAACGTGACATTTTGTCCCATGTGAGAACACGCTGAGAACAAAAGTTGATTGCATCACAACTGTACCCACGAAAACATCAGGATTGCACTAAAGTGAGGAACCGCTGCAAGCCACAAAAACAATAAAAGCTGCCGACTTAACAACGGGGATGCTTGAGTCTTGCTTCTTTGAATGTCTGCTGACTTCACATTACCTTGCGGTTAATATTCATCTCACATCCAACTTCTCTTAACAGTCCTTGTTCAAGTTACGCCTTCTTTTTTTGAATATGTCACAAAAAAAGCCAAAGAAAAAGCACAAACCACATAAATGAATCGTGCGTGACGTCATGCGCACAAATTTGAACTATTTTATAGAACGTAAAACTTCAGAAGAGTTCAACTTTCCGCTGTACTTTGTTTATGTCGATTAATTATTGTCGGTTAAAAAAAAAAAAAGATGTTTAAAACAAATCTGGAGCAGCATGTATTTTTTTTCTCTTCTTTCATATCCTCAGCGTGCGTTTCTTGTGAATGTCAACTAAAGGAACATTAGCATTTCAAAGAAATAGTCCACACACACACACACACACACACACACACACACACACACACACACACACACACACACACACACACACACACACACACACAGGAAGGCACAACTGTTTCCTTAAAAAAAGTCAGATGGTGTTGTGCATGTTTGAAGAGCTTAAAGCCAACATCAGGAATCATTTGATATTCGTATGACCAAAAGAAACATGAAAAAAGACAAGATGTCCGAGTAAATAAGACAATACTTAAAAATATTGTTTGGTGCCACATTAAAGGAACAAAAACAGAACTAACTTTTGTGAAAAACTTTTTTTTTTTTTTGCTTTTTAATTTTCTGTTACGCAATGAATAAGCACATGTCGCTGGCGTTGAAGAGCTCAATGGACTAAGTGATTCATCCGGCTGAGACACTGATTGGCTGCTAAAAGAGTAAGAGGGTGTGATTTAAGAGGCTGTAACTAATCAGACCCAACCAAACACGAAGCGACTCGCAAACCGAACGGACCACCAAAATGATTGATGATTTGTTATGAAACTTCGCAACTGAAATCGAATTTTGCAGCACATGCATGAACATAGCTCAGGAGAATCGCCTGGATACTTGTTCCTGCTTTGCGCCCCATTTCAAATTGTTTGAATGACAAATTAAGAGCTGTTGAATTCCCCGCAGGAACATGTAGTCCGACACACTCACACTCAGGAAATGACTCAAATGAAAACACGATATGATTAAACAATGAACCGAGAGGTTTATTGAAGGACTGTTACTTCCCACCTAAACTATTTCCGTCCCTGTTTACAGCTGAGGAACGGGGAGTCTGCAGGAACAGGAAGCCCAACAAAGAGAAAGTGAGTTTAGTTTAATTAACGCGTGTGTTTTAATACGTATACGTAGGGGCGGGGGGGGGGGGGTCATGTGATGCTCGCTCTCCAAGAGTGACACCCGCAAGTGTTTGCGCATATATGGGTTTATTTAGCTGGCTAATGCCTATTAAATTAAACTGTGAAGCAATCAATCAAATAAAGCCTGTCCAAGCTGTGTTCCAACGCTTTTGTCTTTACCTTGTTGTCAGCCACTGGCACCTTCCTAGCACAAATGGCATTTGCAAACTTGCTCTCTCAGATAAGCTTGGTGCTAGCTAGCTAGTACGACAGAAAATGGAGGTAGGGCAACTTTGAACAAGTGGTTAAGATTGTCATCTGGCACCGTGGGAACCCGGGTTGAGAAAGACACCATAACTTTACTAAAAGCACAAAAAAAAAACCCACTCTGGATTCTGTCGTTGATGGATTGTGGAGGTTAAAGTAAGTTATTTTAAACTAAAAAGGAAAACCTTTACTGGGTTGATGTGGCTACATTGGCGCCTCAATGTACACCCCAATATTTTTTCAAAAAGTGAAAATGAAGCTTGGTAAAGTGCTTTGGACAACAAATGGTGTCGATAAAGTGCAATATAAGTGGACTCCATTGACCTTCATGATCAAATTGGATTTTTTTGTTCTGTGATGTGTTTTTTGGGCAAAAATCCAATTTGCTGTAACCAGGATTCACTGCTTGAATGGATAATGAATAGTGAATGTGGAGTGTTGGTGCAAGTCCGAGCTCTACCCCGCATGAATAAGAAATGGGCCATAGAAAGTCCGAAAGAGTCACACTAAGGAAATCACTCTAAAAGTGCACATTATTAGATGCAAGTTCATTCATAGGCATTCTTTTCCTAATTAAATCAAGGCTCAGGTACAGAGACAGTCATCCAGACTCACACTGAGGACATGACTCCAACAGCATTATGTTGTCAGATAATGAGCTGAGAAGTTTAGTCATAGGCATTGCTTTCCCAATTAAGTCGCAGCTCAGGAGCAGGAACAAAGAGGGATCAGGAATACTAAAGAAAGACACATAATAAAGAAATTACTGTAAAAATAACATAAAAGGGTGGATGAGAAGTTTAGTCATATTTGGACATCAACTTCCATCTGCTCGGGCCATGGGCCGCCCGTCTGGAATGGACCATTGCAAAAAAAAATGACAGTTGGCGACTCAAACATGTACACTGAGCGATTTGATCGACTATGCTGCGATGGAAACATGTGACGCTGGTTTTGAGGCTCCACTTACAGTGCATTATTGACATGCATCCATTTCCTGATCCGCTTATAGGGTTGCAAGGTGCGCTGGAGCCTATGCCATCCGTCTTCGGGCAGTAGGCAGGGTACACCCTGAACCGGTTGCCAGCCAATCGCACATGGACGAACAATCAGCCGCGCTCACGCTCACACCAAGGGACAATTTAGATTGTTCCATTAACACGCATGCATGTTTTTGGAATGTGGGAGGAAACCGGAATACCCGGAGAAAACCCACGCAGGGATGGGGAGACATGCAAATTCCCCACAGGAAGCCTGGAGCCAGAATCAAACCCTGCACCTCTGCACCGTGAGGCCGACACGCTAACCAGTCGACCACTGGGCCGCCATTATTACTCCCAAAAAAAAAGTGGACTTAAAACACATCCTGTACATCAGCTGGAAAAACCCAGTGTGTTCTGCT